ATACATACATGTATATATATGTATGTATATATGTATGTATGTATGTATGTATGTATGTATGTATGTATGTATGTATATATACATACATACAATTGAAAGATATATTATTTTACTGTAATATAGTTTAAAAAAACCAATTTACTATATTGTTTCATGTATCCTACAGTAGAGGAGACTGTTTACCGTGAAATAATTATGATCGAAAATTGTTTCAAAAAGCATCATTTTTCATGTACACGTAAACGTCCAAATTTATTTAAATCTTGCAATGATAGTGATATAAATATAAAGCAATAAAACTATATAAAACGTATAACATTCTTATGTTTGAATGAGTATAAATATATTTTTAACATTATAGAAAAATATGTAATTTACATAAAATGAAATGATACACATCCATCCCGAGATATTTTACAAGATACAAAACATGGATCAGTGAGTGGTTACAGTGGATACAGGAACACATTGAGACAAAACATGCCAAGTGTCCTAAAGGCACATAACAGTCTTCACTACTACATCGATACGATGAATAGGGTACAAATATACGACAGCTTTATAAAATGAAAGAACATGTTTAATATACCGATCATATGTTTATAAATTAAATTGTGCGCAACGTTGCATGATTTATTGCAATAATAGTACAATTGAAAGACATACTATTGAACGAACGTATAGACGGATTCATAAAGAAAAAAAACGATTCCGCGACAAAGAAGTTTGAAATTCTTTAAATCCTATATAGATTTTATATGACATGTAGCGTTTGTGAAATAAATCTGTTTTAAAATATGATTACAAAACTTTAAGGAAAATATTCAATATTTAATAATTTATTATAGTAATATTTGATTACCTAATTTTTTTTTTTACAAAGTAATTAATGATTTTTATCGTTAAAGGAATCAATGGAGTATTTCGTGAACTATAGTTTTATAGATAAATAGGATGATATTGGAATAATTTGTACATGTGTATGTTGTGTTATAATTTATATTCGTTAAATAGCAGTATATTATTGGATTGCTTCGCATGTAATCGAATATTTTATGATAAACCACCTGTTATTTTATTTTGGTATACGCGTTTCATATATCGAGTACTAAGTAATTAATATAATAATATAATTTTCCATGTTATTTATTCAGTCAAGAACGAATGAGAAACCTGGAACATCGAAGGATTTTTCTTCATCCAAGTCATCTACGATCTCTGATCTCCCTAAGACAACGAATTTCGAACGATCTACTTCTATGCAAACTTTACCTTCTCGAACGAAAAAAAAATCTTTACCAAAACGCAGTATTACATTTGCTGATTTGCCACCGACTTTAAAAAAGAGTTCCGATTCCATCGTTTATCCATCCCATGTCAAACCTATGCTATCTATAACTAAACAACCAATTCGGCAAGAAATATCTACTTCCCTTCCTGGAATTATTTCCTGTCAAACATCTGCACGTTCCCAACTTCCCCCGACGCCTCTAACTGCTCCTGAATGCTGGGGAAATCTTGACACTTCGGCTTCTATTACCAAACAACAGATAGCACGTTCTGTTGATGGAATTTTTCAGGTTGAGGTGGGTTTACAAAAGCATGTCTAACTGAATAACTACTACTAATGTTGTTAAATTTATGTATAAGCGTATGACTATTTAGAATGTAGGATAGACGCGATACGTTTATTTTTTTTTTTATCAAAAATTATCTTATTACAATTATTTTGTACGAAAAACATGTAAATTGGTATTTATTTATGCAAATGTTACAAATATAGCAATCTCCAACTTCATCTCCAACACCACCATTGACGAAAATGTCAGTCAGCGATAAAAAAAAATTATTTGAAAGTGTCATAGAAGAACATTTAAAACCATCGCCTAAATCAGGTGAGAATATGCATACTTTTCATATGTAAACATTATATACCTTATATTTGTAGTAAATATCGATCTCTAATTGATAATATAATTAAATTTAATTAGTAAAAATTAAATCAATAATTGCGTGTGTATATGTTACAGATAAAATATTCAGTTTTTTGAGTCAGGATGAGGTGGAAAAGATGAGACAAGAGGAAGGTAAGTTATTATTTGCGAATAATTAATTATCTATTTTTGTTTTGTGTCGTATAATAAATCTGATTTATTTTAATAATAAATTGAAGTTGGTTATAAAAAACTGCTTTTATAGAGAAAAAAATTGCAACTTTGACCCGAGACGAACTTAAATCATGGGCACAACTTGATGAAAACGAAGGTCTCGAAGATTTGGACACAATAAATCAGGATAATGGACGACCTAAGTAAGCTTCAATCTTCACGTTTAAATTATTTCTTATTTAGAAAGTGGAATAAACTTATGATTGATACATTTTATACACGGTTCAAACGAGCATTTAAGTTTAATATAAATGAATATGAAGTACATAACTATTCTACTTAAATATTCAGTACACAAATATTGTAAAAATTAAGCGGAAATTAAACTGTCTTATTAGAATAAACATGAACAAAATGCATTATACCAAGCAGCTTTTAAAAATTAAAATTGTTAATATTACGTTAATATTATATTTGTTTGATGTATTACATGTGTATTTATTGATTTTCGCTCTACATGGAGTAGAATATGCAATACTGAACAAGTTTTATTTATGTAATTTATTCAATAATATACTTACTTATATAATTCTGTTTTACCATAGAAATAAGTTAACTTTTTTTGCGAGAGAAGAGTGTGCGTTTGGTTGTTTTATGAATTTAGAATTAAATATTTGCATGTTTAACCGTTTGAATACCAATAAGTAATATCATTATAATATCACTATAAATTGCTCTCAACTGTATTGTAACTGATATCAATTGACAATTTTCAGATTATTGATTTGTTGAAATTTCATAATTTTTGTATTAAAACGGTTAATTATGGCTATGATGTGGAAATTGATGATATTCTCGATATATTTTTCCAAAAACAAGTAATAGAACACATTTTAAATTAGCCTATTATAAAAAAATTTATTATTTTTAAACTACATGTCTGACGACAATTATATAATTATGTTTTGCATGCAATGCACTTGATGTTTTACATTTATTTGCATTTTTACTTGGCTAATGTGTTTTAAATATAAATTCGCTGTGGCTTATATATTCTCTCCTATGCTGTATATTATGCTTATATCTATACCTAGATTTTGATTTTATATATACATATATATATATATATATATATATATATGTGTGTGATAATGATTATATATTTTGTATTAATTTTATTACATGCTACTGTGACAGCTATACAGCTACTGTGACAGATTTTAATTAAATTGAATTAAATTAAGATAACGAACAGTGGTATAATAATAGAAACAATTTCTTTCGAAATCTCTAATAGATACTATTTTTATTAGAATTTTAGAATTTTCTAAGTCTATCTTTCCTAAGTCTAAATTAAGTATAAAATTAATTATTGTACATCTGAACAGATAATATTGTTTTTAAGCGCCAAAAATAGAGAGAACTTTATTACATCTTTTAGCAGCAGCATTCGTAATCTAACTCTGACATTTTGAAACAAATACAACACCTTTACATTGAGCATTCGATGAAAATTTCTGAACAATCAGTAATGCAAAAAATCTAAACAGCACTATTTTTGTGTTGCTTCTATATCTTTTTTAATAAATATGAAAATTATAGCGTACCTACATTATTCGTGAGTATGCATGCTCGTTACCTTCCAGTAGCCGACTGAGTTCGCGAACTTCGATCCCTCTTATCCAGAATGTTCCCAGCAGTGTGAGGACAGCAAAAGCGGAACGTCGTTTGAAAGAACGTTTAATACAAGAGGTATTATTTATTATATTTTCGTTACTTATTTATTATTCTATTAAATTATATGATAATAAGCAATATGCAATACGATTTCTTGTTCCTTCTTTGATGTTTTAATATAATAAATGCGATAATATACTCAAAATTTGCATATATGTACTTAATTTATACTAGTAAATAATTACAATTACAAACAATTATATATGAATTACAATAATTATCGCGCAGTCATTTTTGTAAATGCTTTTATCCAGAATCTCTTCTTTACAGGGTCTTATTTCGGACGAAGATGAAGAACATCTTTTAAGCCTTGCAGAACAGCGAACACTGAGAGCGGAGAAACGTGCTGCTTGGCGACAAGCGCGTCTTAAATCTCTCGAGCAGGTAAAATTGCAAGGAGAATTGTATATATAAAATTAATTAAGATATATAATACAATGGTAACTAATACGATTGTTTTAACATCGAATGTTTCCTTTCTATATTTATAGGATGCGCTACAGGCACAGATGGTGATTAAAAAAATGAATGAAATAATGGATACCACTAATAAAGAGGAAGATGCGCAAGATACGACAAACTTAACTGATCCTGCCTCCGATCAGGAGAAGACAGTCGAAGTAAGAATATAGAAACAGTGTTTCAGGATGAAATAATTTTTAAATTTATAATCTGCTCATATATAACCAAAATTCTCAAGAGATACAATTAATCTGCAAGCTTGATTCAAAGTTGTATTAACCCGATCGTTTACTAATTGCTGTCTTGCTCGCCTAAGCTAACGGCATTCATAAAGGAAAAATATGTTATTACAACGGTTCCCATTTATTTGTCTTTTACTATCTTAGTTTGCTACGTTACGGCCATCTAGCGCAGATTTTCCTAAGCTCGCTGTGCGCAGTAAAGTGGGTCCTCCTAAAGAGATACGCGAATCTGAGAAAGTAGTGGACGAGAAGGTCACTCGGCGTACCGAGGAATATCTTGATGAAGTGACGGGCGAACGTCGTGTACGAACTGTTGAATACGTCGAGAAGCTCATTGAGCGTCAGGTATTATATTTGTAAAATTTAGCACAAGCGTTAAAAAGTCCACGTTTGTTAGATAAATGAAGGGAATAGACAGCACAATTATAAATCACTATCGTAACTATCTCTGGAGTGCACCATATTTATGCGGATACGTATACTCTGTTTTATTTTTTATTTTTATTTAAATATAGATGGATTATTCCATACCAAGTGGAAAATTCGCGAGCTTATAATACATTAACATTTTCTCTGACAACTTATTGATGAAAAGCTATTGCCGATAACATTAATTTGGTAAATGGCAGGAGTTGAATCATTTGAGATACAGTGCTAAAAAGTATTTGCTGTTTTGTAAGACAACTAAAAGTAAATCTAGCATATTTTATATTCGCGCTATAAGAATAATAAAATTACGAAAGATATTAAAAGCAAGTTTAGTTTTATTTGCACATTCATGCATTCATATAACATTTGTGTAGCATTTGTTCAATTATTGTTGTGTTATTGTTTCAAGATTCCATCGCTTACATCGATGGTACATTACGCACCATCTTGAATTATGAATGTTACTTCTACTGATCTCACTAACAACTTTTTCCTGAATCATCGGTAATTTGGTTTTTATATATCTTATGTATATGTATTTTAAGCTTATAGCGCTTTACATCCGTATGCATTTTGTGTGCATGATCCATTTTACTCATATTTTTTTAATATTTTCGATTATTTTGCGTTGCATGTAAAAGTGCGGCAAAACTATGCGGTTAAAGAAATTATCAAAAATTAAGAAACATGGGACAACTAACATCTTTTCTATCAAAATCCCATTATTCAAATCTCACTTTGTAAAAATCTGAAAAATAGAAAGAGTGACTGATATCAAACATATATGATGAAAATTTATATATATATATATATATATATATATATATATATATATAAAATTTGATCTTGTATCACATTTTGGTATCACAATGTTTTTGGTTGTTTTAGTTGCAAACTAAATAATTTTGATTGCATCGTTTGCAATATATTCTTTATAAATTCAGAATGTATTGCGTGAAAAATAATTATGATTGAAATGTACAATATATACATTTTCGTAATTAGGTGGAAACTTTAAGGGAGAAGATTATATCATTGGAATTAAGTAATGCGGAAGAGGATGTGGAAAGTATAACTGGTACTGGTGCGAGCGATGCAGAAAGTGAAAGTGAAGATACTGCGGGACAAAATACGACTGTTAGTACTACAAAAGAAAAAGTAGATTTTCATTCTACAAGTGATACAACTGAAATTGCGAATGAAACTTCTACTAAAACAAATGCAAATATTACTGTTGCATCTACAAAGAAAAAGAAACGTAAGCGATCAAAGAAAGGTCGTCACTGACAAAATATTTTAATATTTTAATGAGTATTTTAATAGGTACAAAAAAGATTGATGTTAAAGAGACTTGAATAAAAATCAACAAAATTTTTACTATTCCATTATGTTACTGTTACACAAATTTATTGTGTAATACCATAATATTCTACATGAATATGCATACATTTATGCTAAACATAAATATAAATTATATTATGCGTATATATGCACATTTATATCTGTATACTTTAGAGTATATTTAATCAACTATTTCAGTATATCGGTACGTATTACCATGACGTAAGCGTGCCTGTATATTTTGTTTTTTTTCTCACAAATATAATAAGTAATATAACTATAACAAAAATCATAATCTGATTCTAGATGAACATATTGTATTTTAATGAAAACATAATAGATACTTCGTGTAATTAACCTACTGAATACGACGTCTGTTATTTATTATCTATACAATATATCTACTACAGAAATATAACCATCATTTTTTAATTACATTTTGTATACGTATCATCCATGTAATACAATTTCACGAATCTAATGTGTAACATAAATTAATGATTTTCATTATTTTTATATTAATCTCATGTTACTAATTTTCATATATCGTCTATGTATTTTACCGTTAATTCACATTTTATTTCATCCTATACCAATACACCTAGAATTTGACTAAAGATTCAGAGATGAAATTAGAGATTTTCAAAAAATGATTAATATCTTAGTATCAAATACATAGTGGAAAATTATAATGTTTATGCCATTTGTTATTTTTGGTTTTTTAATATACTCCAATTTTATTTTAATGTATGGATATGTGTGCGTCTTATTATAATATCTGTTTTAATCCAATTTTATTCATTTTATTGCGTAACAATTAGATATGTGCACATAATGAAAATGTTAATGAAGTAAAAGACATAAAAAGATACTGTACTGACGACAAATTGTCGGATACCGTTGCATTTTTATGTGCATGATAAAGATCATGCATTTCCATTTTTCCATAAAATTCTTTGAGAATTTTTGTAATTGTTTTTTTTATTGTTTTAAAGATAAGATGTGATAAAACTATGTAATTGTAATGTTACATACATAATTACGACTATATTTTATAATATGATGTATAACACTTTTATAACATCCATTATATTAGCTATTTAATATTCATTGTAACGCGATAA